AACATTGAGAGAATCTGGACACCTATATTGTGTTAGATATGTAACATCTGGATATCTAAAGATAGAGGAATCTAAATAATTTATATAGTTTATTAGTGCTTTTTGTTCTTTCTGTGATAGGCTCTAGGACCCTGTTCTGGGAACTCTAGAAGATGCTGTATAAATAAGAATGGGCAGATGCTTTTCCCCCTAGATATTGGATGGCTGGACACAAAATGAAAGAGGGATACAGATAAATAGGAATAGTAAATGGAGAAAATAAAAACAAAATAGGTTTGATCTATACATAAGACAATATCCACAGACTAGATCTAGCTTAATGCACTGAAATATTTCTTAGGCATCAAAACTAAGAAAATCCAGATGAAACTGCAAATGTTTATTGATCACTTTCCCATAACAAAACAAAAGATGTTGAAGATATACCAATTAACAGGTTAAATTCATCACCAGGCACTGAAGGAATCATGGTCAAAATCTGAAAACTGGGTGAAAGATGAATGTCAGGAGACAAAGAGGAGTTCTACATACCTGAAAAATAGGAACAGTATGCTTCTGTTCATATGACATATGACTAATGAGATGGAGCTGGCATGAAAATTTAAAGGCAAGGAATTGCATTCTTATTAGCAATGCCAGGCATAAAGAGTGACCATAAATGCCTGAGACTTCTACTTGCTATAGAAGTGAGGTTTACGTACGCAGCCAGTTTGCAGGTGATGCAAACCTTGAAAGGAGGGGCTCCTACAGCAGGTGGTTGAGCTGCTGTTGAGAGGGTAGTTGAGAGGGACCTCAACAGGCTGGAGAAATGATCTTTTGAGGTCCCTTCCAACCTGAGATGTTCTGTGATTCTATGAAAATAAGCTATGGGAACAACCTATGCGGTGTCATGACAGAATATTTGCAGAAATGTTGTCGGGGGATAGGTTGCTGTTCTGAATAATTCTCTCAGGTTTATGGGCAGCTGTTACACTTGAGTGGGGAGCTGATTCACGAGGTCTCAGTGTGTATTAGGCAGAGGGATGACTGACAAACATAACAGGACATAGTCTTTGCCCTATGATCCATTGCTCACTGATCACATGCATAGAACTTTTCATTAGAATGGTTATAATGATTATGCTAGTAACACTTGTTTTCTCATACAGCAATTAGAGATTCCCACTGTCATGTGTTGAACTGTTGTATCTGTCAACAAATAGAGTAAGACAAGTCTCACTTTGTTCCTCTCCAGTGTAAGCAACATAAAAATCACACAACCTCAGGACAGTTTTGGTTGTACAGGATCTCTGAAGCTCCTCTAGTCCAACACCATGTTCCACCTCAAGTCTGTGTTGGAAAAGAGTCAATCTCTGCCTTCTCCCTTTCCAACACAGTAGCACTTTGCTGGGCTTATTCTGCTAAAGCCTTTCTTGTACTGGGGACTCTCAAACTGGGCACAGTAGTCCCAACACCATTTCAGAATTGCTCAAATTTTAGTTTAATCACTATTTTCAGTTCATGCAATATGCAGTGGCTAATTCAGCGCAGTTCATTGTTCATGATGACTCTTGTGCAACTTCTCATAGAATCATTTACATTGGAAAAGACCTCTCAGATCATCCCTGCCCATGGTGGGAGGCTTGGAAGTAAATGATCTCCAAGGTCCCTTCCAACCCAAATATTCTGTGACCAAGTCCAACCCCTAATGTATTTTTACAGAGCTGTTCCCTTTACAATTGGTGTCTCTCAATTGTTTACTGTCAGACCTCTTCTGTCAAATCACAGCTCCAGCTTTTTGAGATTCATCTGAATGATAGCTTTTTATCCAGCATCTGGACTGCTCCCTGCAGTTTGGTGTCAGCCCCAAACTTGCTGACTGGGTGTTTCTCTCCACATAATTACAAACCATCAACCACCCCACAGTCATTTCATCTGGCAGGGCCAAGGTGCTGCTTTCCCAGGTAGGGAAAAGCAAAGACCTGTTCTGAAGGCACAACATGGGTTCTCAGGGAGGAGCCGAGTAATTATGAAGAGGGGAGATCTGAATTTAAATAGAAAAACAGCAACATTTGATATAAAAGCAGTGACAGCTGCTCTGGTCAGCAGTTACTGAAGATTGAATGTGGACAGAAGCAGTCAGTGCACACACAAAAGTCCTTCTGATCTGGCAGTGTTCCCAGCTATCCCATCTCACCCCATGTGCCCGGAAATGCCAAAACAAATATGTGTTTTAATGTTAGTGAACATGGTAATCTTTCAATCTTTATCTAATATTGATTAAAAATATAAATTACAGAAACATCCTTGTCTCCTTTTTTGGCCTTTAGAGTATAGGACCAATGTAAAGAAGCCACAGCATGAACACGAACTTGGCCCAAGGCTTTTTAAACTCCCATGGATAAATCAATGTGCAAGATTCCATCTTGGCTACAACAATGTCAGTCTGGAGGCATTGTTAAATAATAAGACTAATAATAATAAACTCAGTAGCTAGCTGAGTTTATTTGCATTGCTGGAGATTAGAATCAAATGTTACTACAACCGGATGTGTCAATCATTAGCAGGGTGTGTTGTACCTGGCCTGCCCATTGACTGCAAATTTCAAATTCAAGATGTCATTTAAGAGTATTCCATCTATTCCAGTACAAGAAGTAAGAGGAAACTAAAATAGAAGACAAGCAAACAACCTTCTTTTTGGATGAATTTAAACTTGAAAAATATGCTGTTCTATCTGGTCACTACATGAATTTTGTAATACAAGGTGACGTTGAATCACCTTGTCCTATCAGGAAACAGGAGAGCTATAAATAACCCTCCAGTGAAGAATTCCAGCCATATTCCACAACTACCTGATCAAGGACAGAAGAAACTTCTGATCTTTGAGGAAACAAAAGGTAGGATTCACCTTGATTCGTTGGCTTAAATTATTGTGATTTTTTTCATGTACTAAAATAGAACCTATCATCAGAAGACTTTTTGAAAAACTAGTCACAGAAGAGGACTTTATTCAGTGAAAAATAAGGATTAAATAGGGAATAGAGTAACAAGAGCTAAAACAAAAAGGTAGAGAAAATGGATGAACAGTTAAAAATACCAGAAAAGCCACCTGTATCAAGAGAGCAACATCTTTGTAAATTATATGTATGTAGGGAAAGGGACAGAGAGACAGTAAAACACATTGAATGGGATATATATTGAATGGGATCCCATTGAATGGGATATATATTCACCTTGGTAAGTTCTATTGGTTCATGTTTCCATCACCACCTATTTTCAGAGTGGGAAAATTACCACCCTGTTTAATTGACTCCTCTTCTGCAAATTGGCTGCTAAGTAGACATTGTGCAATAATGCTGCACAAGTGCAATAACAGAAACTTTATTCTATTTCAGGTCTTTTTCAAAGATAATAAAAAATAATTGAGGTTTTTTTTTTGTAATGGCTATCCAATTGAATTAATAATTTAGGATACACCTTTTTATTTTTTATTTTAGAAGGAGAGATGGGAAAAACATATTCTCATGAGTTTGCCAAACTCATACAAACTAGGGATGCTAAAGCACCATCTTTCAGTGGCAGATCCTGGTATACAGATGGATTTGCAGGAAAGTCAGTAAGACTTGGCACATGTCCTGATTTATGTTTGATTGAGGGGGAGCAGGGGAGGGGGAGAGAGAGACTGATTTTAGGACCGGTGCCTAGAAATTAATGCAGAGCAATTAAATTTACATCTCATAAACTGTAAGCATTTGGTTGAAATCAGTGGGATTGCCAAAAGTATGTTAATATCTTGGAGTGGGAAACCCACTGGGTCTTAAAAAGCATTCCAATGGCATTTTGAAACTTGTATCATGTATTAACTTACCAATTATATTTAATTGTAAGTTAATTCATAGAAAATATTACAGTGAATGAATACTTTGCCCGTGTCTCTAAGTTAGCTTCTTCAGGTTGGTTTGCAAAATAGAAAGCTTCATAATTTCAGTGAAGAGTTTTTTCCTTTAATATGTTTTATGCACCAAAAGAGTTGCTTTCTACTTGCATCTCATCGTGTTTTGCACTCAAAAGGCATATTTTTGATTGTAACTTGTGTACAGCTAAAATTAGCCCAAATTCTATGTACTTTCTAGTTATAAATTAAGTGAAAAGCATCTTTTTTCATTATATTGGGAGTATAACCTTTTGGTGTTAAACACCTAAGTCAGACAAAGTGCAAAGTTTTGTAACAGCTCTGAGAAATACACGTTAGAGAAGTTAATAAGAAAAAGATTCTGTTATTCTAAAGCACTTCAAGGAGGAACAGGTGATGTCAAAATTAAAAGTGAGGGACATAAAGCAGTACTAAGAACAGGAGATCAATGACTTATTCTATTAAGTATCCATATATTTTCCCCTGGATCAACTAGATCTTCCCTCAAATACAAGTGCTTGGAATAAGCCACCTTATTTTGAAGGCTGTTAGAGATAAATTGGACAGATGTGACCAGTCTTTCCAGTTTTTTGGTCTCTGAACTCCAGCTGCCCACAGTCACAGTCTGTGGGTTTTGCTGTTTAGCAGACCTGGAGCAGCATCCCTGCCTAAGGCTGGGCACTGTGGGTCACCCCCAGAGCAAGGTAAGAGGCTGGTGAAGAACTGGAACTTTGCTGTAACACCTGGAAAATAATAGTTTTGTCTTAACCACGTGTTCTCCACAAGTACCAGTGCTCTCCAGAGCACTCTGTGTTTTATATAAACTGGTTGCCTCGAGGCAAAGGGGCTTTGCTGAATATGAAAGGATCAGCAAACCCTACTGGCCTCTCCCCAAGAATAATTTAAAACTAAAATCAGCAGCCCCTCAAAACCAAACAAGCTAAGCTAATAATATACCTCTGTGGTAACATGCCCATAAATTCCCTCGGAGTGGGAGGCTGGGAAAATTGCCAGAACAAGTAAATTCCACTCTAGTCACCTGCTTGCCTGCCAGAGGTAGGTGAGCAGAAACAAGCTAGATGTAATTCGTGTGACTGATTGCAGATACCTGAACTTTGCAGTGACCTCCTTGGTTGCTGGAGTGGTGTTTGAGCCTCCCAGGCAAGTGGAGTCTTGGAGTCCAGGGTCTGGTGTATTATTCTTCAATTAGAATCAGATATTTGTAGAATAACCTGAGTTGGATGGGACCCACAAGGATCATCAAAGTCCTACTCCTGGCCCTGCATAGGAAATATCAAGAATCACAATGTTAGAGAGGGCTCTAATTTCTGTTGTCATTTCTTATTACTTGTAAGATAATCAAGAATAGTCTTAAAACAGATAAAAACAAAAAAAAATCTTCCTGAATCAAGTCTTTCCCAGTTCTGCTCCTGCTCACATTCAAAATTTCATAGTGCTGGTCATCGGGCTTTGAACAGGTTTTGGATTTTGACTCCTATACCTGACTGTAAAGACCAGATGGACTCAGTCTCTAATTCCCCTTTCGACCAAAGCACTCCAGTCAGAGCAGGCAAAGGGGAGGAGGGGAATTTTCAGATTCACCTAGGCACAGGAACAGGCCGAGAGCAGCATCCCGTCCCATTCTGCAGTTTGAAAATGAGCAATAGGCTTCCTGCAGGAAGGGCAACAAAAATCCCTGTGAATACCTGTGGAAATATTACATCAGGGCTATAGCAGGAAGTATGAGATGTAAAACGCAGTTGATTCATTGAAATTTGGAAATGAAGAAAGAGAATTAATTTTATTATTTTAGTTCTAAAAATGGATGGGCAGGGAGGGAGGATCTTGAGCAAAAGCCAGCAAACATGCAGGAGAAAGATGTATTTTGTATTCAGAGAAATGAAAGCTTCCCAAAAAGAAAATTAATTCCTCATTCTCACCTTTTCAGAGATGATTCTGTCAGTGGTGTTCCTGTGTCTCACAGCTGTGCTGCCTCCATCCACCGGACAGGTAGAATACATATCTCTTATTTGTAAAATTTGGGTGGGCCCTGAGGTACTTGTAGACCAACTGAATATAGCTTTCCTGTGCACACCAGATATATGCAGAAAGAGTCTGATGAGATATTTAGGATCTGGAAAGCATTTATCCTTGAAGTAATAGATATAGGATCTGGAAAACATTTATCCTTGAAGTCTGCTTCATTTCAAAGCAGTGGCCTGGTTCCACATTTGCACCAAAAAAATCTAAAGATTCAGCATTACTTGTATTTTCCATAAGTTTCCATACACAAATCCAATAATCTGGACCTCCGAAAGATCAAATACTTTTCCCATGAATTTCACACATGTTTACTTACCTCCCTTCCTTTCTCATCCTACAGGTCCTGAGGTATTGCCTCTCCCTCTGCTCACAATCACATCCACTCAGCCCATATCCCTGATTTCCCTCCATCAGCCAAGTTAACACTCTGAATGCACACACAGAGTGGTTCCTCCCAACCCAAACTTAGTTTGAAATTTGCTACTTTTGCATCAGAAACACTGGACGTGACCAGTGGTTTGACTGCATTTCCCCCTAATTCTTCAGTTTCTCCTCTCAATGCTGCAGTCTAGACTAGCTGAGAATGGATGTAAAGAGGAGGCTGAGTTCCTCACATGACTATTTTTTAATTAGAGAACATGTGAAATTTTATCAGTTATGACAGAATTTGAAGAAAATCAAAGGCATGAAAGGTATAAATATTTTCTGTTCAGGGGGATGTCCTTTTGAAATACACAATAGGCCTGGGATGATCCTGTGATTAAACAGATTTCTTCAATAGAAAAACATTGATAGGGATGTTTAAAACAAGACAGAAGAGAAACACATCATAAACACAATTCATACATTCTGATGATTTCTAGTTCCTCATTCCACAAAACCTCATTAGGAAATTATATTGGTAAATAAGACTGGTTCTGTTGCCTAAATGTACGAGTCTACAGGCACAGAGGCATTCCAGGATATCTCGGTCCTCCAGAGAGGGTTGGAAGATACAATACAGGAATCTGTGTTATTACTGCTAACCTCTACACTGTGGAACCACTGAAATTCTGCTCCATATGGAAGCACCTCTAGAGACACTTAGGAAACAAAGAGGACCACAGTCCTTCCTCCTCCACTGGGATTATCTCCTTGGTTGATAATAAAATCTTGGTATTTTAATATTTCCTACACAGAATGCAGGATTTAGTAACATTCAAACAAAAGAGAAATACAGCAATTTTTTTTTTCAATTTAGGAAACTGAAGCTCTCAGTGCTCTGTCAAGCAGCAGAGCAGAGCAGCAAAAGTTGATTGTTGACAGACATAATGCCCTCAGGAGAGGAGTAAAACCAACTGCCAGCAACATGATGAAGATGGTAAGTTTTTGTGCTGTAAATCTATTTTTAATGTGTAGTGGACTCTATGAGAGATACAGGACTATATGCAGGGTCGCATTGTTTTATTTAGCCACAAATTCCTTCTCCAGACCTTTTCTAAGGATTGAGCACAGCCAGCACCAAGAGAAACATAAGGCTGGGCAGGTGGAGGAAAAAAACTGGAAAATTTGGTGGTGTATCAACAGTAATGCTCTTGTGAAGTAAAATTAAAAGAAGAAAGATTCATAGCATAATTAATTTCTTTCTGATGCAGTCTTCATCAGGCTTCACAGTTTCTATTCCCTTGGTGCACAGTAACTTTGCTCCTACCTCCCTCTCCCCTCAAAAAATAGGATGAAAAGGATTTTGCATTTGACTTTTTTCTTATTTAAATGTAATTTCTATATGTTGCTCCTTTATGAGGCGTATGTATGAGGGGTTATTCATGGGTATGTGACAGATATTTTCTTCTTTCGTTAAGGAATGGTGTCCTGCAGCCGCAGAGAATGCCCAAAACTGGGCCAATCAATGTACTTTAAGCCACAGTCCTCCTCATCTGAGGAGAACCAGTAAGTGAAGCACGAATGGAATTGAGCAACATCACAGGTTATTGTGGCCAGTTTGGGGTTTTGCTTGTTGCAGAGAAATAAGATGCAATTTTAATTCCATGTTGATTTTTTTTTGTCATGTGACAAAGGGAAATTTCTAGGTAGAAATCTGCCCAGCAAGTGAGAAAAGTTCAATCCCATTCTCATCCCAGTTTTACATAGGTATATCCCATTTCTACATTAGATGAAAAAAATAAATTGTAGTGATAAAGCATATTGTTCTAAAATATCAATTTAAAACCCCCAAATCTAGAGGTCTAGAGCCAGTTAAGTGCAAAAACCAGTTCACATGTGCTGGTTTGAAATGTCTGGGAAGAAAGGGGCAAAAGGCAAAGGTGTAAAACTTGCTGGTGGTACTAAGCATAGTTTCTCAGACCAGACTTAGAGCTTTTAAATCCCCTGGCACATTGCAACCTAAAACTGTCTTTGAGGTTCAGATTAACACTTCAGTCAGTCACTGGATATTGAATTTACAGCTGTACCATGTTAACAGCCCAGTATGCTGTTGACTGACTTCTGCCCATACCATATCTAAGATGCAGACAGTCCTGTCAATATTTTTTCCTAAAATCCTAATCCTCTGGTTTTTGCCAGGGTGCACATTGAGGACCAATGCAGTGGGGTTAAACCGGAATAAAAACAGTAGATAAATGCAGTATAGACACCTTCTTTTGTGCAAGGAGTAAAATTTGGATTACTGGGATTTTCCCAAGATTACTGGGCTGTGACCTGGGTAATGATTATGTTGGCAACTTCCAAACAGCAAAATTACAGCCATGAACCTGTGTAGGTGTTCCTGCAGAATGTCTGCCAACAACCAACCACCAGCCAAACAGGGCGTGCTGCAAAGTGGCCAAGTGACACCTTCAGTATTTACAAAGGATGATGTCAGTCAGCTGGAAAAAAACAACATCCCGCTGTCCTATTTAGGATGAGAATTTCTGTGGAAGTCATCCCAGTTTTTGCTGGTTTGTTTTGTTGGGTTTTTTTGTCTCTTGTGTGGATTCTCTATGCATTTCTCAGCACCACTCTCTTTTCAGATGTACTATGTGGTGAAAATCTCTTCATGTCCTCTGCCCCATTCTCATGGTCAGATGTCCTTCAGGCCTGGTACAATGAGGAGAAGAATTTTGAATATGGAACTGGGGCAAAAAAGAAAGGTGCAATGTTTGGCCATTACACTCAGGTAGATGTATTTTTTACATATATATTTATATTTCAGGCTGAACAAATAAATGTTAGCTAAGCAAGTTTTACCTCTCATCTTTAAAGGAAATAAATATAAAGGAGACATGGGAGTTATTCTAACAAAAAAAAGATGAAAAAATTTAAAGGAAAATAATTAGAGTGAAAATAAGAGGTAAAGTAACAAAATTAAAATGAAAATAATAGTCTAAGTGTATGTAGGAGTAAAGAGTAAAGATACTGGCATTTCAAGACTTCAGGAAGCATCAACTTGTTTACCATCTGAGAATTACCCAGACACGGGAAAAACAGGGTTATTAAAGTATCAGCAAGGAAATATAAACAGGTTTGTTGTAGTCAACAAAGTTCTTTTGACTCAGAGGAGCTGGACAACAGCTTATCCTAAACTTCTACAGTAACTGCACAAAACACAGGATACAAAATTTTACTACATCATTCCTACATTGACAGTTTCAATTGAATGAAGACAGAAATACAAAATCAAAGGTTTTATAAACATTTGTCTTGAATTATTATTGTTTTTATCCCCAATATTCTTTGGTTGAATAGGGGTGAAGGCAGATTTTCAATAAAATGGGGCTCATATTTTTAATACAAAGGATAAATAAAGTGACTTGACATTACTGCAAACATTTCTGTGTTGCATATTGTCTTTAAATTATTTTCAAATGTATATTTTTCATATTCCCATTATTTTTATTCTTATACCTACAGATGGTTTGGCACAATTCTTATAAAATTGGATGTGGTTTCGCTTTCTGCAGCAACACTAAGTACAGTTACTTTTATGTCTGCCAGTACTGCCCCGCGTACGTATTGATTTTGATTTTGGTACTTATTACATTACCAAAATTAGCCAGAAGTTAGAGAAATTTGTATCAGGGCACATCACCAGCAGCTGAGAAACAGGTTTGAAGACTCTATTAGGAATATGAAAGGACAGAAATATACTCATCAAAAGAGTTGTCAAACAAAAAAAAGCATAAAATATATAAAGGGACACTAATTTTTAGATTAAATGTCACTTGCCAAAAAATCCTAGCTTTCATAATAGTTAATTAGAAATATTTTGAACATTCTACTTGAAATGCTGGTTCAGAAAGGCATACCGATATGTACAGTACAGTGAAGACTATAATTAATAAAAAAAAAATTTTAATGGGAATGTTAAGGTAAAGTGATGACTTCAAATAGTGCCTAAAATTAATTTCCACATTCACAATATCTTGTTGTGTATTTACCTTGACTGACCACCAGTAGATCACCCAGCCTCTCTGACTCTTCTCCTCAACAGGATGGAGCAGTTAAATAGTATGGCAAAAAGTTCACAGGTCAGGATGAGGTCAGGGGAGTTCACTCACCACTTACTGTCATGGGAAAAAGAGACTCAGTTTGGGAAAATTAACTTCATTTGTGACTAATCAAATCAGACTAGGATAATAAGAAGTAAAACCAAATCTAAAGCACCTTCTACCAGCCCCCACTTTCTTCCCAATCTCAGCTTGACTCCTGATTTTCTCTACCTCCTCCCCCTCAGCAGCACAACGGGATGGGACTGGGCATTCTGGTCAGTTCATCTTGTGCCATTTCTGCCACTCCTTCTTCCCCATGCTCTTCCCCAACCCCATTGTGGAGTCCCTCTCACGGGAGAGAGTCCTCCATGAATTTCAGTGTGGGTCCTTCCCACAGGCTGCAGTTCCTCCTAAACTGCTCCAGCATGGATTCCTTCCATGCTTCCATTCCTTCAGGATTGGAATGCTGCAATGTGTGTCCCCCACAGGGTCACAAGTCCTGTCAGGAGCCTGACCCAGTGAGGGCTTCCCATGGGATCACAGCCTCCTTCAGGCATCCTCCTGCTCCAGTGTGGGTCCTCCACAGGTTGCAGGTGGATCTCTGTGTCTTCATGGACATCCATGGGCAGCAGGGGACACAGCTGCCTCTCCACGGGCTGTACTGGGGAATCTCAGCTCAAGTGCCTGGGGCACCTCCTGCCTCTCCTTCTGCACTGACCTGAGTGTCTGCAGAGTGATTTCACTCACACATTCTCACTCCTTTCTTCTGGTTGCTGTTACATGCAGAATTTAGCCTCCCTCAAAGGTGTTATCACAGAGCCACGATAACCATCACATGGGTCCAACTTGGAGCTGGGCAACACTGGCCCTGTCTGGAACAAAGACAACCTCTGGTGTCTTCTCACAAAAGCCACCCCTGCAAATTCCTCCCCCTCTCTGCCACCTGCAGAAGCATTTCCAAATAAAGCCAGCAGACATGAAAAAAATTGACATATAATCAAGGACCACGTGTAAATGTCCCAGTAAGTTACATAAGTAACTGAGTGTAAATCTAAACATCTTTACAGATTAGTTTTCCTCTCAGGTATGGTGCAGTGACTTCACAGCTGATGTTGGTATCATTGATGTTTCAGGGGAAACCTAATAAGTTCAATGAAGACACCCTACAAGGAAGGAAAGCCCTGTGGAGATTGCCCCAGTGCTTGTGAGGATGGATTATGCAGTAAGTTCCAAGCATTTTAATTGTGACCTGGGTAAAGTTAATGCTTAACAAAAACTCCTAAACAGCAATTAATTTATTCAAACAGATTTAAAAAAAAAAAATTTGCTGAAATACTAGGCAAAAAGTACTATCAGAGAATTACATTTCACTATGCTGTCTGCTTTACCTAGGTGAGATAACACTTTTCCATGCCCAGGAGAGATAAATCTCATCCTTGAACCTAAGAAATTCTAGGGAAGGAGGGGACTTCTTTACCTTTTTTTTTTTTTTTTTCTTCTTACATCCTTTAAACAATGGTGGCAGATAAATGGAAGTAGCAACACATTTGATAAGAGCAAGTGGCAAACATGGGTTTTTAGAATTCTAACAGGAAATAAAAACATATGGGCTGCGTCTCACAATGCAAGATTTAATTAATATCTTCTGTTATTGAATTAACCAAATTCTCATCACAGGCTGTAGCATAAAGAAAGAAAGCTTTAAAACGCCTTTATGGATAAGTAAAAAATCTCCTTGAGAACAACACTTATTTTCTATGTGTGGTCAAATTAGTGGTTGGGATGCTGCTGGGGAGCAAATAGCAACAGAGAAGAAAACATTAGAGAGAAAATAATGTTGATGAAAAATTATTCTGAAAGAATATGATGCGAGTTTTCACTTCCCACTCGCAATTAATTTTGTGTTTCAAATCATTTTCAGCCAAGACTTGAAAGTTTGAAGATGCTTTTTTCCAACACTCCTGGCAAAGTGTCCAGGATGTGCCCAGAGCTTCATCAAGTCCACTGCTCTGCTCCTGTCAATGCAAAACTGAAATAAAATAACAGGCTCAACTTCTACCTTCCTGCATATCCATCTCCTTAATGAATTCTTCCACAAACACCCAGTTCCATCCTGCCTCTCCAACATATGCAGAAGGACTGACTTCAGTACAGTGACTCACACAAGAAAAATCTGTAGCATGATGTACATATTCTATTTATATAATGGTCTAGAGCATGGTAGAAATCTTAATTTAAATTTGTTGTTTGTTTGCCAGATATATTTAATTATTAGTGTTTCTCATCTTTCTTTTCCCAGAATGTTATCTAATAAACATTTGTGAAAGGTCTGTGTTTCCATATGTTTATTATGTTCTTAGCATAGATGGATAATGCTTGGTCATGTAACTACTTTTAAATTGATTGAAAATTTAAACTATTATTAACAGGACCAGCAGATAAACAGTATTGCTTGAAATATGTAATTCTTAAAAGAAATTAGGAGAGCAGAGCAGTTTCCTGTAGATCTATTCTGGTTTAGAATCTGTTGCTGACATATGTTCTACTATAAAATGCTCAGTTGTGAAAAAACACAAAAAATACCCCCAAAAACCAAACCAAATGTAGTTAATTTAAATTAAGAATCCTATTTATAGTATAAGATTGCATTTAAATACAGGTGACCAAACCTATCTTGTAAAGAAAAAGGACTGTCTGAGAAAAAGGCTTAATTCACAATAACAGATAGTCAAAAGGGGGAAGATCCCTGCATTTGGAAACTTTGTTTTCCATAACAAGTAGACATGTGTTTCAATTTTTTTAATGACTGTATCAGTCATTAAATTACTTATTTTTCACTGACCAGTTCATCATAATTTTCATTCTTTCTTATTACCATGAAATAAAATTCTCTAAACTGCACCAAAGTTGTGACTTTATTAGCATTAGGTGTTGAAGGGAGCCTAAATATTTAACAGCATGAGCAGAATCAGGTTATGTGAGAAGATTTCCTAAGCAAAACCAGAAGTCAGGCAAGCAACCCTCCATCAGACTCCCTTGCAGAGAGAAATAACAATTAGCATAAATAACCTGCAATCCCCACTCGGTGACCTTTGGGATACCGGTGCTTTTCTGTGCAGTTAACAATGGGGTTAAATATTATTTCAGTCTCACCTTACAAAGGTTGCACATTCCAGTCCCCTTTTAGTAAGGAAGCTGCTGTCATAATTAAGATTTCAAGTCTCAGAGCCCTTGGCACAGAATAATTTCATCACACATTTGACTCCTTCATTCCAGTGGCATTTCTTCTAGTGTGAAAGACAAGCATTAAGTTAAAAGTTCGATTTCACAACTCAAAGGTCTTATTATTTGGGTTGTTTGGTTTTTTTTTTTTTTCCTCATTCATCTCCACCATTTTTCCCCTCCATGGCACACTGACCTCTCAGCTGGAGTCAGCTCTAAAAGCAAATAAAGCAATGCCAGGGCAGAGGTGTGAGTGCTGGAACATTACTTACTACACTCTGAAATAATTAGCACAGGTCCAAGTAAGAATTGCAATAGTTAATCCAGTGTTGCTATCAATAAGGAAGTGGGCAGAACCATTACCCTTACTCAAAAAATACTCCTTTACCATGAATAATGGGTCAGGAAATCAGAGAATCATTAAGTCTGGAAAAGACCTCTAATAGAATTGAGTCCAAATATTTACCTGTCACTGCCAGGTCCACCACTAAACCATGTCCCTAAGAACTAAAATTGCATATTTCTTGAGTATTTCCAGGGATGGTGACTCCAACACTTCCCTGAGTAGCCTGTTCAATGCTTGACAACCCCTTCTGTGAAGAAATTTTTTGCCAATATCCTATCTAAACCTCCTTTTGCAAAGCTTGAAGCCATTTCCTCTTGTGCTACTGTTTGTTACCTGGGAGCAGAGACCGACCTCCACGTGGCTACAATCTCTTTATAGGGAGTTGTAAAGAATGAGAAGGTCCCCCCTGAGCCTCCTTTTCTCCAGGCTGAGTCCCCCCAGCTCCCTCTGCTGCTCCTCATCAGACCTGTGCTCCAGACACTTCCCCAGCTCCGTTCCCTTCTCTGGATTTGCTCCATCCCCTCAATGTCTTTCCTGTAGTGATTTCTGCAACCAAAACCACAAGAACTCATTTCTTAGTCACTCCTAAGAGGAAAAAAGTAGTGTAATAAGGTAAAAATCAATCATCACACATCTGACCCAGGGCATAAAGGTCCATAAACCTGATTTAGATCTCCAAAAAGATAATGAAACGAATTTTTTACCTGTCATTTTGTAACCAGTAGCGTATTAAAAATCAGCATGGATCCTTCAGGAGCTGATCTTCCCAAAACAAACTCTCTTCAGTGAGTCACTCAGATGAGAAGACACTGCGATGGCTTAACTAACAAACTTGAGAGGTGTGGTTCAGGTGAAAGTACTAAAACATGGCACATCCATGCAGCTGAACACACACATCTGTGGATGATCCTGAGCTGGGGAGGAGACAGAGACCTCTGGCACCTCGGGGTCCTGGTGGATGACAAGATGTCCAGACCCAGGAGCAAGGACTGTGAGCAAGGACACCAAATGAGGCACATCTGGGGTGCTGTGTCCAGCTCTGGCCTCACTGGCAAAAGAGGGTCATGGAGCTCCTGGAGTGGGTCCAGTGGAGGGTGGCAAAGATGATGAAGAGATTGAAGCTTCTCCCTGACAAGAAAAGGCTGAGGGAGCTGGGGCTGTTCAGCCTCCAGAGGAGGCACAGTTGAGAGGAGCCCTCAGCCCTGGGTGTCCCTGTGTGCAGGGAGGGGCAGAGCAGGGCCCAGGCTCTGCTCTGGGACCCAGCAATGGCACCAGAGGAACGGGCAGGAACTGATCCCAGTGAGTTCCACCTGGATGTGAAGAAGAAATTTCCTGTGCAGTGACCGAGCACTGAACAGATTGCCCAGAGAGGGAGTGGAGTCTGTCTCCAGAAATGTCTAGAAACATGTGCTCTAAAACCACTACTTTGTGTGAGGCCCAGCTATTGATGTTTTTAGGGCATGAGAAATATTTAGTGACTTACTATGATACCAAAGAGTCCTGTTGCAATCAGGGCTGGTAAAAGACTTAACAGCCATTACAATATACACTTCCTAAGTGTATATTGGAAGGCAGTTTGCCTTGTCCCTTATAGCTTCTGTCAGCACTGAGATCCCCACAGCAGAGCAGGCTTTCGTCCTAGCACATCCTGTTCCTGCTTCCTTCCACCTTTCAAGGAGAAACCCTTGATACCCTGCCTACCTTTAGCAAGGATCCAGAGCAAACAAGAAGATGCCATGGGAAGTCTTGTGGAAAGGGATTATTCCCTATTCCTCCTTCTCACCTACTCCTGAGGGAGCTCCTTGCAGAGAGCTGGCTGCTCTGGGAGAGGGCCTGAATTACATCCCTCCATGTGATGGACCTCCGGGTTCATTGTGGAAAAGTACACAGGATAGGATAGGATAGGATAGGATAGGATAGGATAGGATAGGATAGGATAGGATAGGATAGGATAAATTCAGTTAAAGGGGACCTACCTGGTGCAACTTCCTGACCAAAGATTAGTTTGGAATAACTTCTTCTCTAAGTGCAAGAATCATCTTACTCGTGCAGTGTTTTAAGAGGAACATGGTGATGTGGACAGTTCAGCCAAGGCAGTGTCCTGTCTCTTGCCATTACAAATAGAATGTCCCTTAATGGCAGTTGGAAAAATCTTGTGGCAGGCAGAACTGAATTTCTTCTTTCTCTAGATTTGATGTCCTTTATAATGATCTTAAAAAAATGGGACTGTTGCACTTGAAATATTAATCATCTGAGCAGAAAGGTGCTGCCTTTTCTACTTGTATGGAGATAATCCTTATTGATTTTATCTGCAACATTTAGCCACAGATAAGCTTTTTAGACAAGTGTTATACAATGAAGAAATGAACATTGTACTAACTCTAACTGGGCCATTTTTAGATTGATTTCCTGACTTTATGTCACTGTCCATCTGCCCTGCTGTATCAGATTGCTGAACAGGTAAGAAAGATAAAATTTAAAGAAAACAGAAATAATCTATAGATAGTTTTATATGTTTTATCATTATTATTTTATCGTTTTGTAGCTGGAAAAGAAAACATCAGGTTTCTCAGGAGATGCATATTGAGATCATAGAGAGGCCTGAGAACATCTGTGTCCCAGCTGATACAAGAAATGCTCCAGCACCTGATATTTTGCACCCTGAAATCCATCTGTGGCACCCACAATCCTCTGTTTGGTGCCCAGGCTTGTGACTTACACAAGAGGGAAGTGTCTCCAGATTAGATGCTAATTGCAACAAATGACTGAGCAAGAAGTGACCTATTTCAATTTAATAAGAATGAAAGTCTTAATCCTCCTCCTCCCTCCATGCTGGGGTATACACAAGGGTTAAAGATTTCCCTAGGCATGGCAGGGTGCTATCAGAGGCAGTTAGGACCACACATTTGGATTTAAGTAGCTGTACTTCTCCCTGAGCTGTCTGTAGGGATCCTTTAATCTCAGTCTCAGCCTGTCCACAAACCAGCACTCACTGCAATATGTTAATAAAAACCCTCTTACTTTCTCAGTGTCAGACACTGCCTGTTTATTACTCTGCCTATAATAAATTTGGCCACAGTTTGCTGGGATTATCATTTAGTATCAAAAAATTGCTCTCAATTTTCCCATAAGTTTTGCTGTTAAAGCTCACTTTAGAAGTGAAGTTACCTGAGGTGGGTTACACAGGTTGGAAGAGGACGAGCATCACCAGTGCCACCACTACATTTCCTCCTTACTGAACTAATCTCACTTCCTAACCTGGCAGAAAATTATCTGGTACTGAGACAGCCAGCCACAGAAGGAAATAATTCAGGACAATTCAGAACAAGAGGAAATGTTTTCAAGTTGTGCCAGGGTAGGTTTAGATTAGATATTGGGAAAAATTTATTGACTAAAAGACTGGTCCGGCATTGGAACAGACTGCCCAGGGAAATTATGAAATCACAAAAAATGTGAAGATGTGATGCTTAGGGCCATGGTTTGGTGGTGAACATAGAGCTCCCAGGATCAGGTGCAGCCTCAGGATGAGGGACTGACTTGAGTGCTTGGTCACGCAAGACTCACACCATTACCACCAGTACTAAGAAGATGCTACCTTTCCCTAATCCACCCCTTTTCTCCCTCCTCACCAAATCCATATCTGGTTGTGAAAAGCAACCAGGGCAGTTTTAGCTATCTTCAAGAAGAGTATCATTGTGCCTGATTAACTGTTGCTGACATAAACCAGGACACTAACCCAGCAGAAAAATATTCCTCTGGT